TTTTTTTAGTTAGAAAATAACAGTTATGTTACTAATTTAATTAATAAGGCATCTAACAGCCTCTGTGGAAATTGAGCGAAACACTCTGTCACAGATACATAAAAATTGCTTCATAATTATGATTTTGGCCTATTTTGTTACCTTAAATGATATTGTGGTAATCTTGATATCTTGTGAGACTGAACTACAAAGTGGTGACCCCGGAGTGACTCGAACACCCAGCCTTCTGATCTGGAGTCAGAACTTGTCAGACTGAACTACAGCATATCCCACCCAACTATACTACTAGTACAGTAAATCTGTATATCTAGGCTAGCCTAGAGATAAGCTAATTCGATTTAAGTCGTTTTTCGACTTAAGCCGTCTCTCCTGGAATCAATTAACGACGTTAATTGGTGAGGTATGCCTGTACTGTACTTCTTTATTTTAGCTTACATGCATATTTCAATTTGGTCATGTACATGTAAAATGAGTTTTACTTAGTTTTCATTAGTACAGCATGTTTATACACCCTTGTGGATCGTATCAATGTGTATTAATGTAACACCTTATGGAAAAAAGAGATGAAGACTATTTCTTTCACTGTTATTTTGTATTACCCTTTTGTGGGACTCTGAAAGGAATAACATAGTGGAAACTTTTAGTTTAGTGTTGAGTAGCTGAAGCTGTTTTATTTAAGTCCATGATGACTTGTTTTAAAATTATCCTTTTATGTATATTGCATTTTTGTTGTATATTGTTTTATTGCCTTATTTCATGTGAAGAATTCTTAAGCTTAAATATTAATATTCTCTGATATATAACTATGATTTAAATTTTCTTGATATTTGAATATGATCACATTCCTTTCATGTTTTGCAAGACATAAAATGTGTTTTAATAAGAATTGTTCCTTTTACTGATAGTATGATATGCTCCAGTGTTGGATCCCATTTTTTTTTATTTGTTCTTTTCCCTTAAAAGGATATCTCATCCCTCATAATAACACTAAAGTCACCATAACTTCCTATGTTCTTTTTTCACCTTCTGTAGTAGAATATTGTTGATTCAGTATTCTCTAGAAAGGGCCTTTGTGACAGAGTGCTTTGCTCAAGTCACCAGAGGCTGTAGTTGATGCTTTATTAATTATGTAGCTAACTAGTAACTGTCTTTTCTTTCCTTACTGGAAAAATAAAATCTCACTTCTTGCATTTTGCAGATTATTGTTATTTGCAATTTATATTTTAGTATATCTTGTTAAATATTTTTGTACGTGTAGAAAGCATGATTTCAATATAAAGTCTCCCTCCAATTTAAGTTTTCTGCTCCTCCCTTTTTTTCATTGACGAGGCCATCGACACGTTGTTTACACAATTTTCTTATTATAAAATTGCTTTGCTGATAAATTTTGTAACATTAAATAAATGCTCTTGATTATAATTTTGCTATAAATTTGACCCTGCTGACTTGTCATTAGTCTGTCTAGATACATTTCAGTAGCTTCATTATTATTTAAAAACTTAAAATTCCGTCTCCTAAAACGCAAAGAATGTTCTGGAGATTGTTTTCCAATAACATATTTTTTATTATTATATTTTACAGTTTGTTTTCATTTTCCTCCTCTTGTTGTACCTAAAATACTGTCTCTCCCTTGCATTTTTACCATTATTGCCTGCCAGGGACCACCACTACAGTACCCCTCGAATATTATATAATAAGTTACAACCCTGAATATCCATCCTTCGTGGGGAACCAAATGAGGACGTCACCAAGAGGGATGCTTCATCACTCTCAATTGGTTGCCACACATTCCAGTGGTAAGATCTCGCCTCAGCAGTCACGCTAACTTCAAATCTCATTTTACGTGGCATCTTCACAGCAATTAATCTGGCGCAAACAAGGTGATAGATAGTGTATTTTAAAGTTGTTGGTCATGCAAATTGGGAATTCAAGAAACTGGTTAAATACATTTCTGGTTAAATACTTTACTTGTTAAATCCTAAGAAATTTTTCTGATTCCATTCCCATACAAAATGAACTTTTGTAAATTACCTAACCGGAATCTCGTTTGCCAAATTTAATTCCTAGACCTGGAAACTACCGCCGATATACCTTGATAAGAAATTTCTTTTACTGAGGGTACCAAAGTAAAATCTTGTCCTCAGAAAGATTGCTCATTACCACGTAAATATCTATCCCTTCTCTTAATGAATTCTTCTTGCACTTCACCACTTCTATCATCGTAAATGAAGTTTTTTACGTCTATACTCGTAAATAAAGCGATTTTTCTATAAATTGCAAATAATAA